GAAGGCTTTTTTGGCTGCTTAACCTAAACTATATTCATTTGATTACTTCTTCTTTAGGCAAAGACAGGAGAGTGATTTTCTGGACTTGAAGCCTTTTTTATATAAAGTCAATATTGCTAAAGAATCACATAAAAACACTTTTCAAAGTAATGAAAAGGTAGTCTTTATTTCATTTTCACTCAAAGATGACAGTTCTGTTGCATTTCTTCTTGTTTAACTAAAAGTCTAGATTCTTTCTGATTCTTTCTGTGTGTTTCTCAGCACAGGGCAAACTGGGAGACAAAAGTCTTAATAGAATTCAGAGAATTCATGCAGCTTTGGGATTCGATTCCCTTTTACTTCAATCCTCTTCCATGCTGCGGTCAAAGACATAACTTTTAGGACTATTTTCAGTATTATTTACGTCACCTCGGTCTCCACCAATACACATGAGACTCCCATGTGCAAAGGAGAGGTAGTCATCACGGTAACACATGCTACCAAAATCTTTGTTCCAGAGATTCTGGCTTGTACCGTCCAAGGCTACAAAGCGACGGCAGAGTTAGCTTATATATAATGTCAGAAAAGTGAGGGTTAACTTTACATGAGGTTCAGAGAGAGACAGCCTATGCAGCACCCAACCCCACAAGTATTTCTAGTTTCTGTCAGCTCCTGTAAATGAAAACATGGCAATGTATGCCACAAGGCACTGCAATGAAGGATATTCCAATAAGGGACAGACCCTTTTGGTTGCAACAGGTTCCTCAATGTTTCTCTGAACTTCTTAGTACCTTAATCTAATACAGACTAATTGTTAATTAGCTAGTCTGCACCCAGATCCTCATATCTGGCTAATACTGGGTAATAGGTGACAATTTCATCCACATGAAAAGGAGTTACAGAGTTATTTTATCAGGACAATAAATGTGTACTCTGAGTTAGAAAAACTTTTGAATAGGCAGGATCAGCAGAACTCCCTATTTTTAAAGATGCCTGATGCATCCCCTGGCAGAGCTCAGATCTCAGTTACTCATGCATTTGTCAGACAGACCTACCGGGCTGCAATTTTCCATACTAAGTGAGAAACTATTAGCCTTAGTCCCTGATTCTATGGAAAAGTTCAGTCAAAACTATCCATCCATTTTTAAGAACAAGGCTAAGGAAAAATATTGCTTTTGTTGTTCAAATGACAGTGTTCACGGTTGTTTTCTTGATGTTTTATTAATTTTTATTTTCATTAAAGTAAAGCTAGAGAAGCACTTTTGATGAGCGAGCGTGTTGAAATTTGGCCTGGACCTGCTGCTCCCTAGAAAATCTGCCCACGTTTGCACAAAATACAAAGCCTTTGAAAGACTGCAACTTATTCATCTTCAGTAAAGATCTGTTTCACAGCTTCACGTAACGGCTCGAATTTCATCACACTGAGCATGAATTCATTCAACTCCTCTGCATGCCAAGGTTGTGCATGCATCATCCATCCCCACAGAGCAACTGCTCATGCTTGAGTCACACAGATCTTCTGCATCGCTGTACTGCATGTACATATGCCATCCTCATAAAAACACAACCCAGGCCTACACCTGACAGAACAAGGCTCTCCCAGTACTCACAACTTATCTGGAGCTTCTCTGGGTCACACTGAAGCAAGAGCAAGGGAAAGTGAGGCAGCAGTCTGTCTGTCTCACTTGTGCAGGTGCTGACACCCAGGCAGTACGGCGAGGGAAAGTGTCCTACTCTGAGGAGGGACCTAGACCTGGAATGCGGCAGAGAAAATCTGTGAAGTAAAGTGCGATAAAGTGTCTGGGAAACAGAGCCTGGGATGGAGATGGCAAAGAAAAGATACTAGGAGTCTTTGAGGTCAAAGGGCTACGGGGAGGCAGGAATGTAGATTATGAATGCAGAGTCATACAGGAACTAAGACAGTACGGATATTAGGTCTGGGAACAGCAGGCAGAGAAGGTAATGGGAGAATGAGTGGATAAATCTAATGTCCACCAGACTATTCCCCTCTAGAGCCTGGAAGAGCATCCAAGATCTCAAGGCTTCCCTGCTGTCAGAGCACCAATGAAACCCACTTTGAAAGATTCCTATTGGCTTCTAGGACAGATCTGCTAAAGCTATGAGAACCTCCTCCTGCTATCTATTATTACGCGCTGCTGAAGAAATCTCTGTCTTTTGGCTGAGTGTGTTTTTAAACGGAGAAAATACAAAAAAAAGCTGAAAATATGAAAGGAGCATTTTTCACATTGCAAAATCAGTCACCCAAAAGTTTGGAAACGCATGAAAACCTGATCTATGGAAGAGTTCAACCCAAAGGAGGCTGAAGCGAACAAAGGCTCACGCTAATTTCAGCTGGCTGCATCTAGCAAGACCAAAAAAAAAGCCATCAAGCTGATGGTGTGCATGGATGTAAAAACAAATTTGTTACATCCAAGATATTGTTGCCACTTACTCAGGCATCACACCAAACTACAAAGACTTTTTCAGTTGCCAACCGTTAACAACAACTTGGGTGCATTCACCTGGGCCTCTGGTATTCAAACCATGTTGTGCTTTAATTATTGCACAACCAGCAGCTCTATAGGACAGGGTGGTTAATGTACTGGCAGTTGCTTGCATTATTTACAGAGAGCAAATCCGTTGCTCGTTGCAGTGGGAAGTTTCGAGAGAAGACAAACACAGGATTATTACTCAGAAATTATTGGCCTCTCTCTCTATGCTCAGAGCCTTGTCTGGGGCCACCCACACAGCACGATGGGGTTAGCTGGGGTTGCTTGGTTTCCAACCCCACACTCAGTGGTTCGGCCTCTCTGGCAACAACCCTGGATACGGAAGCAATGCTTCTACAGTCCACGCCTTAGCTGGGGCCACAGGAATCCCCCAGTATGACCAACAGTAAGAGAAGCCCCTGCATATTTCAATCCCTTCCTCTAAAAACCTACAGCTGGCCAACCTGCCCACAGGGGCAGCAGAGCCGTGCCACTGAGGGCAGTGGGTTTTCCCCAGTCTGTTCCTGCAAAAAGGGGTGTACCTCTAGGCTCAGTGATCCTTTCCATGACTAGTTGGTGGGGAAGGAAGGAAAGCTTTGACTTCCCAAATACAAATAATCAAAGTGAAAGTTCTCCTCAATCCCACAAGATGGCAGGAGCTGCTCAAAAATTTGCTCTTCACCAGCTGGAAGGGCTTGCAGGCTTTTGTAGTCTCCTCTGACAAGCCATTGCTCTCTGAGGAGTTAAATGAAATCCTATTTTTTAATAAGACAGGAGAAGCCTGGCAAAGGCATATCAGCAAGCGCTCATGGATCTCTTAGGAACAGTGGGATGTTGTATCGGTGACTCCGCGGCAGTGACAGACTGATGTGGGGGAATGCTTCATGTGGGAACAATCTCCAGAATCTGCTTTCTGGAAAGGAAAAAAAAAAAAAAAGAAAAAAAAAAGAATGAGCAAACTAAAAGTGGACAGAGGAAGCCGCAACTGACTTGTTTAAAGATTTTAATATCAGAGCTTGCCGACACAGTGCCTGCAGCATTCCTTACATTACTTGCAGCATGAAGACATGAGAAAGCCATGAAAATTCAGACACTTGGTCAAGAAAGGTCAATTTTTATTCCCTTTAGTTTACAGCTGACTTCTCCTCCTATGAAGCAACCTTTTTTCCAAGGACCTAATTAAAAGCAAACTTTTCCACCAGAGCATATTCTGCCCTTAGGACAGTAATAATCCAAAACAAATGAATTAAATGCTAATTAATAACCGTATGAATGGGTCTGATACTTTGTGAAACACATATAAAGAAAAAAGAGAAGTGAATGAAATGCCTGTAGCAATATTCTGATGAAGGAAGCACTGAAGATAGTCTTTGCGTGATCACCTTTAGAAGGAAGAGACAGGAAACACCTAAATGTCTTTAACCACGCTGAAGGATGTCTGCTCAGCTGCCTCCGTAGGTGAGTTTCCTTGTCACTGTACAGAGCAACTATCTGCAGGTCAAAACTTCCCCCCCTTGACTGCCAAAGGAGATTCAGCCCTGACCTGACAGGACCGCTTGCATTTCGGGCTGGATGCAGCTCTCTGCCGGTAGCTGACAGAGCCAGCAGCAGTGCCAGTCAGTCAGCATGAGGGGGACGTCAGTCCCGGGTGCTGAGATGGAGGCCCACCATTTCTCGCTCTGCATTGCTGCAAGCAATATATCTACAAAACATGATATTAAAAAGGAAAATGTTTACATATGGAGGACAGTGCCTGACTGCTATTGAGTCTGCAGCGATCTGAATCTATGAACATGAGATGAGAGACCCTAACGTACATTATTTATCCCTGATGTATCAAGTCTTCCCTTCATGCCTTTTTCTCCAAGTATTTTTATGGCGCTGAAGCCCCTGACAGGCACCATATATCGCTTCATATTCTGCTTCAGCCTCCTGAAACCTGAATATGCTTTATTTTCACTGATCTCTGTGCTACTTCAGCTGATATATTTTCCTATCTGACTTGTACTGACTAGGATATATTTTTTTTCTTAGACCTTCCAGAGCTAACTAATGTTGTGGCACCGACTGTCTTCAACTAACTTATTTCGCATAGGATACACTGTCTTTCTATTTGACTGTGTGTCCCCTTGTGGCCAGAAACAAGACTGAATTCAGCCTACAAATCTGAAACAAATCATTCCCCACTGCGGAAGAAAGAATTGCTTATTTTGCTGAAGAAGGAAGCTCTTGAATAGCATACTAGTCCCCTAGAAAGCTCAGGTTTAACTATTATAGAAGCAATTTTCATCCCCAAAATTCAGATTGCCTTTTGAAGATCCTGAAAGCTGGTCACCTTTGAATCTGAACTTTGGTTCTATTATCTATCTGTAAGTAAAATCTAGATCTAGGTGTGAATTTCAAATACCTTTGGTGGTTGACTCACTATAAAGGCACAAGCAAATTCAGAAATAAAGGCTCTATTTCATAGATTCTAACCCACAAAGAAACCTGCAATGTCTGGGCTGCACGCGTACAGTGCTTTGAACAAACAACAGCAACTACCCTTTATGCAGAGAACACAAAATAACTTTAGGTTCTGTTCGAAAGCCTGTAAGCCCCAAGCCAAAACGCTTATCTGTTTTATTGAGACAAGCAGAATTAAGCATTTTCTTCAGGTAGTTAACACTGTAAATGCAATTAACATTTTCTAAATTTTAAGCTGAGCTGCAACAATAACAACAACAAAGCCAGTAAAAGCATGAAGGTCTGGGGAGAACGAGGACCTCCTCAAAGAAGTGCCAATCACAGAAGGATGTATGGGTGGGAGGTATCATGGACTGTAAAGAGGGAGCTGTGGGAGGAGACTTATACTGCTCTAGCAGAAAAGAAGCTAGGAGACTGCTCACAGCTGAGGAGTCAAAGTGAAAGACGTTGCAAATCAGAGTGCCAAGAACAGAAATGGAGGCTCCCGAATGCAAAACAATGCAGAGGGCACGGATTTACGGAGCTTTGATTTATAAGCTGAGGTCACTTGGCAAACCTTTCTCTCTTTCTTTGTTTTAAGCCTTCTGTGCTTTTAATTACCTATGACTAAAAAGACAGTTTTCAGGACTAAGCCCATCTCATGTTGTGGACATTCCATACATAGAGGCTTCCTCCCTCCCGATGCATTTCCCGAAAGCTGCTCCTGGCAGCCCTGACACTAATCCATTTCAGTGATAGGGTTTCATGAAGCACCAAGCGTACTCTTGGCAGGCAAGCTGTTTGTGCATCTGGATGTAATAAGGAGCTAGACTCTAGCCGATGTGGTGGCTCAGCACACTAAACCACCAGGCACAGGATGGTCAGTGTTTTCCTGCTGCTCAAGTTCAAAACGCAGCTTGGAAGCTGGGTACGGAGTTAAGTTTCTCAGTAAAAATGGCCAGGCCACAGAAAGGGGAGGGAAGATTGTTAAAAGTTGATCGGATGGCTGGATTCTCAGCAGAAAGCTCTGAAGGTCATAAGAGATCTCCCACAAGCAAGACTAACCAAGACTCCCCTCTTCAAGCTGGGAAGCACCCCAATCCCAAGGGGTGAGGTGGGAAGAAGGAACAACCCTCCTGGGCTGTGTGAGAGACGGAATGTGGGCCCCGCTGGGACCATTAATGAAACAAAGCTTGGAACTGAGCCCAGGTGGCACGCCAGTGCAGCACCGTGCCACTGCTCCCCCTGCCAGCAGCAGCGCTCAGGGGACAGGTCTACTTTGGGTATAGCCGCTCTCCAGCCACCCCAAGCAGTAGCAGATGGCAGGTTATTAGCCAGGAAGGAAGTACCTTGGCACTACTCTGCAACAAACCGGGCTCCAAACAGCCCATACCAGCCTCCAGGATCCCAAGCGCAACTTTTGCCCTCCTCTCCAGTCCTGCACCAATGCAAGGCATGTCCTGCTGACTCCACATCTTCACTGCACACGCACGGAAACAGAGGAGAGCAAAAACCATCCTGCAGTTAACAGACATGCTGAAAAAGAACAAGCTCCCTTTCCTACAGTTGAATTGGCTCCACAGGACTCACAGATGTTTTTTCAAAAAAACAATAAAACCTCCATTTAAATGTTACTCAAGCAGTTCTGACTCTTAGGATATATGCAAGAAACAGATGTGCAGAACAGGGAAGTGCCATTTTTATAGAGTGGTTCTTCAGCATTTGAGCCATACTAGTTTACATTTGGAGTGTAGGCTCCTTAGCTATACCATTTAATACTTACAATAGTTCACAAGGTACAGCCAAATCTTTCTGCCAGTGAAGACATGTGCTTCTTTATCAACCTCAGCCCAAGACGGTAATAAACCAAAATAAATGGGATATTAATACCTTGTTGCCCTACACTTTCCAGATTTCCCACACTTCACCCTTTATTAGATTTGCTTTTACCTCTCTACTGTTCCTCAAGCAAGGGGTTACTTCTCCCTTAGTTCTACATCCTGGGATGTGAGTTTAGGGAGCAAAAGTCACTGCAAGTTGTTTATCAGGCAGAAGCAGAGCTCGTACTGTTGTCAAGTCCCTGAATCCCTCATGTTAGTGGTTTTCTCTGACACGCTGTTCCATATTTGGGCTTTGGGTAAGCTGACAAGAATGTAATTTCTATTTAAAGATACACACTCAGTTACTTCTATACTTACTAATAAACGTGGGATTTCAAGAGCAAGCAGCGGAAAAAAAAGTTGGGCAATTTATACATTGAGTTACCTCTAATAGAGAACTTATAATTTTACAAAAAGCTGTTCTTATGTACTTCATAATTTTCCCCCCAAAATTCCTTTGGCCCGAAATTTCCATGTTTGGTCTCTGCCCAAATGTAAGTATTTAGATTCCTGCCAATTGTTTTCAGTCAGTTTTCAATTATATGAGAATGAAAAATAGACATTCCTTCCTATTCCTACGACTAGGGTTGTATTTTCCCATACCTATGTTGAAACAATCTGAACACTGGAATTCTAGGTTCACTTACAAATAGCTATCAATAGAGTACAACGCCTTCCATGAGTCTGGGGAATCCTTTTTAATTTTTACAAATGCATTTTTTGGCCAAGGAAAAGACTGTATTACACTAGCACCTTATTCCACCACATATGTGCTGCATGTGTATATTCAGTCATAGCTAATTACTTACCGTTGAAAGTAAATGTATTCCTTCTTAGCTCCATTACCTTTCCCGAACAAGCTCTCTGATAAAAGAGAAAACTGGATTCTGTTGTCTCAATTTCTGCAGATGGCTTTCAAAAGCACTTACGAGTAGATAATCATTTGACTCACAGTGATTTTCAACTATCGCTCCTTTATCTCTTTAATGTCCTCACACTCACTCTAAATTCCAGTTGAAGTTGATATTACTGTTGAGGAGTAAGTCAGAAAAGATCCATCAGGATGTTTAGGCTGCAGACAGAGCTGAGGCAGCGAACTAAACTCAGCAGATTTGATCTAGAAAATTCTACAAAATTATTCTGGAAGCCCAACATATCACTCTGACAGTATCTTTCCAGAGAGAAAATCTCACCTGCGGCTGAGCCACAGCAGCATCTCTGCTGAATTGATAAGAAACTTGTCTGAATTAAGGCTAATGTTTTCTCTCTTTAAGCATCTATTTAAGACATAGATGCAAAAGATAGGGACCTCCCTTCGTAGGGACAAACCAACAAAATTCTCTCTCCACTTTCCTGTTCCCCAGCTGGTAAAGCACAACACTGCTCCTCAGAATTTATTACATACTTAGCTCACCCAGCAGGAGTATTTGTGCAGCAAAATACTACTCAGTGCAACAAAGCATGACAAAATCAACACCCTATGTGTAAACAAGTTTCATCAAAATCAAAAGCCAAATGAAATATTTCTACCGACACACGCAAGAAATGCAGTGAAAATTTTTTTGCTTATAATCAATGAGTGTTCTTT